GATAAAACCTAAACGATACCCATCCCTACTCTTCTGTATTCTAAAGTACCACAAACGCAGCTGACAGACACCTTCAGACAGCCTACTTTAACCCCCCGAATATAAACTCTAGATGAACATCTAGAGTTTATACTCGGGGGGGCAAAGAAAGTGAAGAAAGTGAAGAAAGTATATTTTTGTTTTCCTGGCCCTGAGCAGTCTGATAATTCAGGTTAAGTTTAAAATGTATTGAGAGGCACTGAAGTGCAGCGATGCAGCATTTTCACATATAAATTGTAATATTTAAAATGACAGCAAAGTCAGTGTGTTGAGTTTTCTCACCTGTTTCCACCTGTCGGGTGCTGCCGGGCAGACGGAGGATGGACGCCTGACGGCGCTGTGTGACTCAGAGTCGGAGTCATCGCTGCGTCTGAGCTGGCTGTGTCTCTGACACTGTTGTACCACAGCGGAGCGTTGATCCTGGATTCTGCTCCTGGCTCTGCCTTCACCTGCTCTGACAGGACTTCGGTGAAAATTACACCTGCTGCTATTTTTAGCAACACTGCTTCTGAAATGCGCTGCGGCGCGTCTGGTGGGATCACAAGCACCGACCTGAGTCAGCGGTTATAATTACTGACACGCCACACACATACATCCACGCTCCTGTCATTGTACAGAGCTTTAAAACATCATGTCACATGTGACCTCTGACCTCTTCAACAAGGTCGGATAAGGTCAAACTTTCATGAAATGTCTTTTATTTTTGAAGCTGCTTAAAATTTGCTGTCTGTGTTTTTCATGACTGAGCAGCCGAGGTGTTGTGTCGTGGACCCAAAAGCAGACACGGCAGAGAAAACAAAGTATGAGAAAAGCGAGCCGTTTATTAAGGCTGGTCTCAAACAGACAACAAGGCGAGCTGAACTCAACTAAAACCTAAACTGGGATAAACTAAACCTAACTATGACATGGTACATGAACAGGAATCAGAACATGTGCATGCAAAAACTGTGAACCTGAAGCAAAGCATGAACGTAATCAGCTGAAGTCCATGACCTGATACAAACAGTCGACCCGACCCCGGACAGAGGGAGACAGAGGACACACAGGAGAGTAACGAGGGAAGTGGAAACACCTGGGAAACACAGTCGACACAAATGAACATGAACGCCACAGGGGAAGCAAAAATAAACACACTGAACACAGAAACACTGGACCCTTCAAAATAAAAGAGGAAACATAATGGGACGTAGACAACACACAGACATGAAACACATGACAGACTGGAGACACGTAGATAAAGCAGACGAAAGCACGGACATGACTAAAGGTGAAACACAGAGGACAGGAAAAGAAACCAGGAGATGGAATAAAGATAAACTAAAGCTCAACTAAGACCAGCTCACAATAATAACACTAGAACATTCTCTCAGTATAAAAATGCTCACAGGCAATGTTCCCTCTAATGTTTCACGTGTCTGAACACACAAACTCCCTGAGCATCCCTTTAACCACTGTGAGCGACAGCAGACGTGTGCATTGTGGCCACGCCAGCATCCATCCAAGTTACATGTTTATTAAAGTAATCAAATTACAGCATTTATGTTAGACTACTTTTAATTAACTGCTTTAGCCCACTTACAATGAAAATTTCTTTAAAAAATTGTTCATGACCTGTAGCATGTTAACACTAAAAATAACTTAAACTCCAATTTTGAAAACAAAACTTTCTTTCTTTTCTTTCTTTTTTTTTTATAAAGCTCTGACTGTATTATGAGTCTGAGTCTGGGAGAGAGTCTGTAACTCTGTCTGCAAAATACAGTAAATAATGACCAATGTTGGGTAATTAA